TCGCAGAATCTTTCTCTCGAAAACTCCAAGAGCCGCCTCATCAGATGCTTTCATTGTCCATGCTTCCGCGCCATACACCAGCACAGGCATGATGAGTGACTTATAGAGTGTGATCTTTGTACGACGAGAGAGGACTTTACTTCTCAATTGCCTACTCAGCCCAAAGTAGCACTTGTTGGCAAGAGTGATTCTCCGTTGGATTTCAAGGCTGACATTATTATTGGTGTTAATGCTGGTTCCCAAATAAACGAAGTCGTCTACTTTTTCAAACTTGTAACTGTCAACAGTGACGTGGGTGCCAAGACGCGTATGCTCTGACTGTTTGTGTGCTGACAGGAGATACTTCGTTTTGTCCTCGTTCACCACCAGACCCATTCGCTTTGCTTCTCTATCCAATCCCGAGAAGGCAGAACAGACGTAGCCCTTGTTTTTACCGATAATATCGATGTCGTCGGCATACGCCAGCCATTGTACGCTCTTATAAAGTATTGTGCCTGAGCGGTTCAGTTCTGCGGCTCTTATTATCTTCTCCAACATAAGATTAAAGAAATCACACGAAAGGGGGTCCCCTTGTCTGAAACCTCGTTTGGTATCAAACGGCTCGGAGAGGTCCTTCCCTATTCTGACGGAGCTGGTGGTATTGCTCAACGTCATTTTACACAGCCGTATTAGTTTCGCGGGGATACCAAATTCAGACATCGCGGCATAAAGGCAACTTCTCTTCGTGCTGTCGAAAGCGGCTTTGATGGGGTTACCATCTCTATAAAAACTTGAAATTTAAGAAATAATATAATAGTGGATATAAAATATCATTAAGTAAACAACAATCAGAAAATACTTGGGAGTTGGATTGCCATTGGCAAAACAAACTTCTCCTAATACCACAGACAATGATTGCGATCTCGAATATGAATTTCACAAGTATTTCTGGGAGCTACAATAGAGGTTTATAGTAAACGGATAGTTTCAAAACAGGCGAATGAGTAGGAGCTGCGGTTTAATGTTTTTAATAGTAAATTTACATTTTCATATTTTGGCTGGCTGGCAGCCGTTAAGGCTCTTCTCCAGACCGGCTGGAAGGGTGAGGAGAAAGATAGAAATAGGGCGGGAAGGTACAGGAAGATGACACTTAAGGCTTCTTATATGAAAATAGCTACTTGCTCACCACAAATCTCCTCAATCGACTGATATCTACTACCGAAAGCTCATCGGAAGTGTGGAAGAAATGCGAACCGAGATGCTTGAACCTTAGGTTCGCAAAGGCAGGGCACCAGAGCAGCAGATGCTGAGATGATTCCACTTCATTCTTCTAAAAGCAACTGGCGCAGTAAGGGTAATCGATGACATTCAGCCGTACTACATGCATATCTATCATGAAATGACCAGTTAAATCTCTCTCCAATAGCGAGAGGTGTAACTTGATTAGTCTCAAGAGATACCTGTACCGTCTCCAGTCTACACGGGGCCAGAAGGATTTAGCATATCTGTCCAGAAGTAGACCACATGAGGTCAGGGAAGCACCCAGAATTCCTCTAGCCGGGAGGCTCGTTGACCAGGTAGTTACCAGCGATTTCGCCATGACCCGAAACCCGGAACCCGAATGAGCTTAAGAGCATAGTTGTCCCATGCGGTCGATAAGGAAGTCAAATAATCCCTCACTGTTTTCAAACAAACAAACAAGGAGACAAGATCCTTGATAGCTGCTTCACGGTCGAAATAGATATTCACCTCTTTAAAAGGTGTTACACTTACGGCTTGGAAAACGCTGCGGTGATCCGGTAGCCTGAATTTCAGGTTAATAGAGAAGTCTGCGCAGAAGACCTAACATTTTGCTTCGATCTCTCCGTAAATATGTTTACAGGACCCCGATTTCAGAAGCTAGACCCCTCCCAGTCCTCTTTCGCTAGAATTTGGGTGGTAAAAGATCCCTTCGGACCCAAAAGTGGCATACAGTTGTCTGTTCGAGTCGGTAGGAACTCGAAGCTTCTTAAAATATTGGCATGCCCTTAGCTCGAGGCGCTAGCTCTGTCTGCTAAATCTATGGGCAAAATTTTAACAGAGTTAGAGTGGTTAATGATGAAGTCCTTTTCTAATGCGTTCCACCAGACGAGTACCACATTAATTAAATTGGCTTGATTATAGTTTCCTAAAGACACTAAACTACTTTCGGCGCTTGCCAATGGCCTCCTACCACAATATAAGACTACTATCCCCGGATTGAAGCGCTGCCCATTCTGCTGTAACGGTTCTGTTGCAAGCCATGCGGTGAATAAACCTTACAAGGTCGGCTCCGACCTCTAAAGACTTTCGTCGTCAAGGTTTTCGCGCTCCATCTGATGAAATTCCAAATACAATCTATGCGGAAATAATAAGCGGTCTGTCTAATAAATGTATTGCAGACAGCAAACGGCAGTGCTCTTTTGAAGACGGTGTGCGATATTATCGGGATGCTGCTCTACTATAAGTGTTTGTGGTTTATTTTTTTTTTTGCGAGTTGTCACTACCTTTCTCGCAAGAAAAAAATAAACGTTAAAGAATTCTTCTTGCCTATATTTCAATCAATGCAGTTCCAGACACAAGTAAAATTAATGAAGTATTTGAACAATTTTTGCAATAAACGTTTGTTAAGGCGAAAAAGTACCAATATTACTCAGTTTTCCATTGTCTTTTTATAATAGCTTTGGGAAGTTTTCAAAAAGAATGTTCATATTTGGGGCAATAGACGTTGTCATCGAATACAACATATCTGAAATTCCAAGAGTGTGTCATCAAATTAAAAAAAAAATGGCAGCTTGCAGAATTTTTTTTTTTTAATTTTTGAAATTTTACGATTCTTTTTTATTATATTAATTTAAGATACTTCAAATTGTTAAAACTAAACCATGATAATGTTCTTCTCACCAAAACGAACGAAATGAAAAAAAAATATGGGGTACAGCAGAATATTGATGGAGATTGCAAAGTTGACGAACTGCCAAGGAAAGGTAAGGTCACCCAAAACCTTCCGGGAAAGGACACGGTTGATATAGCAATAGTCACTTTCAAGCAGTTTGGTAGAGATCACACAGTTCCAGTAACCAAGGAACGCCGAAGATTTTTTCGCCTTGCAAAGCTTTCAGGACTACCTGGTATTTTTATAAAAAGCAAACGCTTACGGGCCACTTCCTAATGTGGAATCAGAATCTGTATTGATCTATGTGACATGTGGGGCCGAATCGTAAAAGCTTCCAAGTTAAAAAATTAATTAGCAAATTACCAAATTTGAGAAATAAAGAAAAAAAAATACCAATTTATGTAAAAAATTACCAAAGCGGCAACGCTTTATATGAGCACGAGTTGTTATTTTTACTTCAAAAAAGGAGGAGGTTATCAATTCGTCGGAATATTTTTTTGTATGTATGTTATCGCATAACTTTGGGCCACGTCAACCGATTTCGATAATTCTTTTTGCATCGGAAAGGTAGTGTCTCATAGGTGGTATAGATTTAGATCCGATCATTGAATTATGAAAAAATTAACTGCACTCCAAAATTTTTATATGAGAGTTGAAGTCGGTTTTGCTTTTTGCTTAAAAATTACTTGTTGCTATATCTTTTTTAAGTTTTCATTTAAATACAATTTCGCGATGAAATCTGGCTCTTTACACAAAACGAAAGATAATGCATTGTTTAAGATAAGTGTGCCACCATATTCAACGAAAGACCGGTTTTTGTCGAAAAATTTAACAACTCGTGAAATTTGCTCATATACAAGGAGGACTTTTTCGAATATTTTCGAATATCTGTAAGCTAAATGTTGGAAGATAGTAATGCTCTTTAACCTAATGATCAATTGTTTGTCTCAACAATGTTATTATGTTTACAAAATCTGAGACAGAGACAGTGGTATATGCACTGAGCTAAGTTCGCCCCATTAGTATTTTGTCTTCCTAAGAAATTAAATTTAGTTTAACTTTATTGCACCGCTCATGTTTGTTAGTTTATTAATTTTTTTATTAAAACTTATTCTATGTCACATACTAAACGCAAGACTTGGGGCAAAATATGTGTTTCCTGCATACACACAAATTTCCTTACGCATCTGAATATTTATTTTTTTAAGTAATCCTCCCATTATACGTTCATATTAGCCTGACTTAGCCATAAGCATTGATTTGAATATTTATTTTCCTTCACAACAGTAGTAAATTTACATAGTATGTATTCCCATAGGCTCGATTAAACTTATAGCCTCTTGGCCTTTATCCTCCTCTATACACACACACACACACACACACTCCCATTGTCACTGCCTCTGCGGTGTAGAACAAACCGTCGGTCAGCCACAGACAGCAAACAATAAACCGCAATCATTTTACATTTCCGCTATGACAATTTCGAATAATAATGGGATTTTTTCTCCCTTTTTTATTGCAGTTCACCAACGGCAACAGTCAACAGACCAGGTCCAAGTCAAAAGCGCAAGGAGTATGAAGTGGAAAAATCACATGGGCGTACAAAATTGAACAAGTCGACTGAGAGCAAAAATTAAATTGAAATAGCAAACAAGCATTGGTAAAGGAAAATATAAGAAAAACGGAGTGGGGAGAGTAGTTGAAAAAAAAACAGTAAAAAAAAGATACTGATAACAAAAAGTATTTAAATTAAGCAGCGATATGTGAATTTTGCTGTATGTGAATTTCTAAATAAAGTTCATGCATCTCAACCGTTCACTGGCGTAGAAAACAAAAAGAATGCCGTAACTTATTTGACTGATTAATTTATAAGAGAAGCGTGAAGATTCGACGCTATTTAAAGACGTTGCACGCAGACATATCAAAAACTCGCAAAAAAAAATGCACACAAATGCATTTAGCTAATCAATACAGCAGAGCAAATGTCACATTCGCACTGCACATTTCAAAAGTACAACTGAAGTAGCCGCACAAAGAAGAACAGTTTATTGGCATCCGCTGTATTTGGCTTTGTGACTTTCGCCAGCCCTTAGGTCACATAACGAAAATGGGCTGCTCACCAAGCACATTGATGTCCTCCACTAGTCACGAGGATGAAGATGAGGAGGCGCATGAAGCCGTAGACACACATTTGAGCAGTGCTGGCACTGCTCTTGCTGCAACTAGTGGTGGTGGTGGTGGTGGTGGCGTTGGTGGCGCTGGTGGTGGTGGTGGTGGTGGTGACGAGAAGGGTAGTAGCCTCTTCTTTTGCATAAAACTGCGTCGTTCGCGTCCACTACGTCGGTGCAGTCAGCAAAATGGCGGCGGTGATGGTAGTGCGGGCAGTGCCGGCACTGGTAGTGGCATCAATGGTGACGATCTGCTCGGACATGGTACTATGTGTAATCAGGCATTACTCAACCCGTCGCAAACCAAAAACGAGGCGGACTATGATAAGGTGGGTGATATTTTTCATAGCGTTTAAGAAGAATTTCTTATAACTTTTTACATGTGCATATGTAACTGAGAAATTTTCGAGGCAAAACTAAAACCTTTGGATTATTAGATTTCCAATAGATGAAGACGGCTTTTTTCTTCTAGTAATTCTAATAGAAGTAATCATGAAACTTTTTTTTCTTTATCCGTTTCTGTTGTAGACAGTAAAACCTAAAGAATCTCCAAAGTTATAAATTATCTAAATTTGCTCACCACTGTCCTCTCTGAAAAAGTTATATAAAATTATATAGAAGGTATTACGAGTATTTCATAAGTTAATTTGATTCACTGAAGGATTTAAATAATTTTGCTGTAATATTTATATTAAGTAATAAGTTCTACTGGACCGATTTTTAATGGTTTTGGGACTAGTTATGAATTACGGCCGCAATCGGCGCATCTAAAGTTTCGTATTTGTGTACAAGTGGTTGTTGTTGCAATCCGTTCAATTTGAGTTGTGTTTCGTATCCTCACAGTTCATTGTTTTGGCATTTTGTTTTGCTTCCTAATATTGTTTGCGAACACAAAGATGAATACGTCCACGAGGATGAACACGAATATTAAGACCAAGACGAAGAAAAACACGAATACGAACACGAATATTAATATGAATAAGACAAACAGGAATGCGAACATAAATATGATGACGAATATGACGTTGAATACGACGACGAAAACGAATTCAAAGGATAGTACTTTATACGAATATGAAGACGAGTTACAAGAAAAATACGAAGACGAATACAAATAAAAATACAAATACGGGACACACACGGAAATAAAAACGAATACGGAAACGAGAACGAAAACGAGAACGGAAACGAGTACACAGCTGAATCCTATATGAATACGACAATGAATTTCATATTCATATAAGGCTAAAGCAAATATGAATTTGTAAGAGGAAAAGTTCCAATTAGAGTACAAACACGAATACGAATACGAAAAAGAATCTGAAGACCAAGGAAGCTCCGCTCGGCACAATACTGCCTTGAAGAAAAGTGGGCAGGGAAGAAGCTGCTCGGAGCCATTTCGTTGGCACAGTAATCCGTGCGACCAAGGATGAAATCGAAACCCTCTAGAACTCCGTAGTATACAGTCCTTACGTCGGTCAACGAGTCGGTTTCCTTGAGTCTAATAGCTGTTCACGGTGCAGCCGTTTGCCTGCAATGTTAGCATTACGTTAAATTCCAATAAGTGTTCCATAGTTTCCCACTAATACCAATTAAAGCAGTCCGTTGCACGTGCGGCAGCTGCTTAGCTAGTGTATCATTTTCAATTGAGTTCCACCAGATTACGGCTCCATAAATCATAATAGGCTTGACTACGTCCGTAAGACAACTTTAGGGGAAAAATCCCATCATTTTCCAATAGCACGCCTGCAGAAGTATAAGGCCACTGATGCATTGGGTATCCAAGTATTTATCTTATGGTTCAACATCGTCTGAATAGGTAATTACCCGACCGCCGTATTTCTCCAGCTTCTCTAGTATATCGTTTACCACTACCACCAAGTGCTGCCCCATATTTCCATGACAGCTCTGTCACGCAGCGAGTTTTGTATAAGCAGTATAGGACTGACTTCAACTCCAAGCCTCCGGCAAGATAATAGTAAAATCATCCTCGATAACGGAGAATGCCAAATCTGTGTGAGTGAAAGCTTTCCCTATCCGTCCAACCCTTGGCAGTATACCCGTATCTTACGCAGCTCGCGTAGATAGTGGTGCATCGACGGCACAACATCTCCGCATGTTTTTGCAGCAATGCAGGTATAATGCTACCAGGTCCTGGGGATGCAAAGGATTTGAACGAATTTATCTCCCAAGTCAGACGACGGTCATCCAGGAGGTCAGAAAAAGCAGCGCAGTCTCCACATACTTCCCTTCAGAAAATTTCCTATGGGGAAGGATTAGAAGGAAATTGAGTATCAAGGAGCAAGCCCAATGACTCCCCGCCACTCAGGTAACCTACTGCAGTGGGATTTCTAGCGTGAATACGCCTTTTCTTAGAGGATTCCTGCGTATCTCAGTAACCGTTGTGTCCACAAGATAATTCAGTTTTTCTTAAATGTTTATTGAGTTTTGTGTTTATAATGGTGATTCCGTTTCTACCAAAAAATTTTGCCCTTGCACTGTGCAAAATTTGTTTGATGTTACATTCAACCCTTTAAAAGGGCATGTTTTTGCCCTCTTGTCCATGTCGAGCTCACGTATTTCATAAAGTTATCGTTTTAAGCAACCATCTCCCCTGACAAAGCTTCACAGGGCAGAAAATGTGCATTTTTTGCTTTACAAGAGTGTGGCATTTTAAGAAACGACCACAAAGTTTTCTCACCGTTTGCCTTTATTTTAGAAACGGACAGGAAAAGAGAAAAGGGCAATCGAAATGGGACATTTTTTGGTAGAAACGAAATCACCATAAATTTCCTGCTGTCACTTTTCTCTCATTCATCCATCAACTGCTGTCTTAATCGAGTAACTTTCTCATTTAAAATATTTTCACTTAACAAGTCTCCACGTAAATAATCTCAAGAATCACTGGCACATATCCGTATTGTGCGATGATAACAGAAGATTCAGAGTTTTCAATTAACTGTCTTTCAACAAGAGTGGCATATGTATTTGAATTTTGCTAGTGTATATGAACACTTATGTATTCACTAACGCATCAATCGATTTTGTTGTGAAATAATGAAAACAAATCTGAATTCCTATTCATACTAGTTCGTAGAAATTTTAAAAAGAACATACGTGTATATTGACACTTTGAAGGGTTTTACGTAGGCAATTGTATTGGCAACAGTTGAAAGATGCCAACTGTCAAATACAGAAATTAATGTATGTACTTCTGTCTATAAAGGATGATAGCTTTGATGTGTACACACTTATCGAGGCATAAAATGGAATTGTTTTAAATTCCCTCAGCACTTTTAGGAAAAAGAGGGTTATCCTGCACGGTGTAACAATATTTAGAATTCAGTTGGAAAATAACAATATATTTCATCAGAAATTTTTGTTAATCCTACACTGAGAAAAAAAATACTAAGCATATAAAATAAGTAAAGGGATTGTCGTCCCGTCTCATTAAATAACTAACGATATGATATACATATTAATGTTTGGCTGATGTGATAAGTGGTTAAAAATAATGGATATCGCATCCATAAGTATTGGATAAGACAGTGAAATGAATTTTTGTAATTTTTTTTTAGTTTTCTGAGTGTACTAATATCATGAATGTAAAAGTTTGTGAGTAAGTATTTGGGTATGTTTGTCACTCTTTCACGGTAAAACGGCTTAATGTGTTTCAATGACATTTGGTACACACATAGGTTATGACCAGGGTTAACATACAAGATTATCTTTTCAAAAGGGTGGATGCCATGCGAAAGGGATTTAAGAACGATTTATTTCAAAATAAATTTGAAGAAGGTTACCATATGTTCAAAACGTTGAAATCAATTTGAATAGCAAGTTAAATGAAATCTTTTTATCTGGGTATAGAGCAAGAGCGGTTGAAGAAAGCTCTATTTCGAAAATGTTTTCCAAGAAGGTTGCCACCTTTAGGAGTTCAAAATCAGTTTATTCAAAAAGCTAAATAAAATATGATATATTTGAATCAAGTCAGTTGGAATTCTAAGAGAGCTACATTTCAAAAGCAATATTGAAGAATGTTGCCTTCTGTTTGGAAATTTTAAGATCTTTTTAATTAACACATTTAATGATTTATTTCGATAGGGGTGTCAACCGAGAGAGGTTTAGGAAATATTATAAATATTTTAATAAAACAAGGTTGCCACCTTGTTAGAAATTCGAAATCCACTTAACTAACAAGGTCAATATGAGATTTTCAATAAACGAGAGAGGTTTATTTCAAAAATATTTTTGAAAATGGTTGCCACCGATTCAGAAATTCAAAAACAATTTCATTGAGGTGAATGTTAAATTTTAACACGGGAGTCAAACTAAAGAGGTTCAAGAAAGCTTTATTTCTCAAATAATACAGAAGATTTATTTTTTTAAATATTTTTGAAGGGGTTGCACCTGTTTCAGTTCTATTTATGTGAGTGTAAATGCAAGAATGCAATGCGGATGTCCAAGAAAAGAAGATACAGATAATTGTTCGCCGAAATATTTTTGAAAAGGGTCGCTAATTGTTCAAAAGTAAAATTTTACTGAGACAATTAGTTAATTGTATTTTATATATTTCCACCCAATTAGTTGGAAGAGAGCTGCCATATTTTCAAAATTTATTATATCTATATTTGTCGTTTATGTTAAATATTTATTTTATTTATAAAAGGCTTACATAACAATAGCGCTAGCAACAGAGGCTGAATGGTGAATGAGGGAAAGATTAGACACGACGAAATAGATCAGAGTCTTTATTTATGAAGTTGTATATTTTAGAGATGTAATATATTCTTTAAATTTAATTGAAATATTATATCGACGTATAATACATATTTAGATTACATTATTTTGAAAGCATTTTATAGGAGAGTTGCCACATCCAAGATTTATGATAATCTCCTTTTTATGATAAATAAAAAACTACTATTACATATAAAGACTGTCTACGACTGAAACGGCTGATTTAGTTAAAATTTGGCATAAACATTCACGTGCCCTGAGACATAATTTTTGTCCCAGAATTCACAGGAAAGGCAAATATCGAGACTAACTCGATTAAGATAACTATCTGATCATCATTCGGTACAGCAGATTGAGGTGCAGCTGTAACATTTGACAGCATAAAGTTAACCCTTAATTGAATTTTACTATGCTTTTTAAGAACAATATATGTATGTACATATTGGACAAGTGCGTTAAACGTCATGTGGTCGCCTACGGTGCAAGGGCTAGTTTAACATCTGCCTCTGCTCTTTTATTCCTATTTCACTATCTTTTTTGTTATCGCGACAATTTTATTCTTTCCCCCACAGCAGGGTAATTCAACTCTTTCATAGGGAATCCACACGTCAAGCGAATGCTTTTCCGAAACATTTAAATACGAGTATATATACATATATGCATATATAGGCATTGATAACACAGCCAGCAGAGAAGCGTATGTTTCGCCGACAGCGCGTCTCTAGTACATTTTTCGTATCATGAAAGGTACAGCAATCGTTTTAAATTATCGCTCATTTTTCTTATCCGAAAAACGTATAGAAATAACCATAATATTTGCAAAACAATAATTTTCTAGACAAATATTTCGCATATACACTTTAGTGGGAGAATGCATCCGAAACAAAACTGAAAATTGAGTCGGAAGACGGATGAAATATGAGGTTTTTATAGTACGATATTTTCTTCAACTTTCGTATACGTTTTAGGACATTTTGCTGGCTGGGTAAGCATGACAATACTTACTTATTCTTCAGTGTGTGTGCTGATTGTTCTAAAGTAGTTTCATAGAATGACATTTAAATGACTGCTGTATTAATGGCCTTCAGGCGCATTGAAAACTGCTGTGCTGCGGATGTGACCATCAGTGCAAGAGCGCACTGGGAGGATTTTTCCGTTTTGTTTTGCTTTGTTTTACCCTTTATATGTAGTTGCGGTAAAAAGTTGTGGTGTATAATATTTATCAAATGAAGGTATTTGAATGAGGAGTTGAGTTTAGCTCGTAAGGTCATATCGCATGTCACTGGCTAACAATGCTCGTAAAAAACAAAAAACTTTATAAGCCGAGCCGACATGTAGAGGTATGAAGTAATGCTTGTTGCAATAGCATAAGATCCAT